TAACTACAATAAGAACTTATTAATATATTTATATCTACTGTTTATGAGCTTAGAATGCTTTAAGAATAGTGTCATCAAAAATACTTTCTCTGCATTTCCTTGTTATTGTTTAATGGTTTAAATTATAATATATTTGTTGTTTATTGTATCACTGAAAAAAAATTGGCTATAAAAGATATGTTTATTTATTATTTTTTGACTTTATTAACACTGAAACTTATGGTAATTGTGGTACCTACAATAAATATACACTGGGTAGGCAGAATCATTAGTACTAAGAGTATTTATTAGAAGCCATATATGTTTAAGGTTACAAATCTCATTGTGGCCCAATTAACAACAAGATTACAAGGAGTGTATTCTTGTAATGTCTCACGTTTTGATAGTTATTCTCGAATTTGCCCTTTTGTGTTTATAAAAAAATGTACATTAGTTGTAACTAATAGTCATGTTAGTGGAGTACCACATGGTACCACATGCAAACAGTTGCAGAAAAATAATTTACTCTTACAAAAAGTAAATTATTTTTTTTAAATCCTGTTTTTTTACCACTGGAAGAAAATCTATAAATTATATAATATATTCTTAATTCTTGACTTTGTGTGCTATACTAAACTGTTGCTATACTAAAAAATTATTTCCAATTCCTAGTATGAAAATTACCAGCATGCTTAAGGAAATACACACACCGGAAAAATCTAGGCATATCATTTTATTAAAGTTAAAAATAAATGTTTTGAATAAACAACCACATATTTTAGGCCGATTCTTTCTACTTCGATTGAAACGAAGTAGTCACACTAGTTATTTCTAAATTTGGGATATTTGCAGAAGTTGTTTGTTACAGTGGCTATGTTTTTATGATAACAGGCCAGAATTCATTCAAATAACTCTGTTTAGTATTAAACGACATTATGGCAGTGTAGACATCTTAGTAGAGACGAAATGCTAAGGGCCATGGGTATGCTCGAAGCTGGAATGCGCCAAATCGACGTAGCTAGAGCATTAAATACAAAGCAAAGTGTGAAAATTAAATACGATTAAGTGCACGCTACCGTGAAAGTGGTGATGTTGCTGAAAGGCACACAGGACGACATCGCATTACTACCCCTCAGCAAGATCAATTTTTACAATTAAATGCTCGACGCCGACCGACTCTTACAGCACCAGAGCTTAGTCTAATTCTCCAGGAAACACATAATGTAACCGTTAGTCGTGACACTGTTCGCAATAGATTGAGAGAGGGCAACTTAAGAAGCAGACGCCCCTTGAGAGCTCAACCCTTAACGAGAGGAAATCGAGAGGTACGATATTTGTGGGCTCAAGATCATGTTCAGTGGTCGAATGAACAATGGGCCAATGTTCTCTTCACGGATGAGTCACGTTCTGGAATTCATCCGGATTCGAGAAGGCTTAGGGTATGGAGAGAAGCGGGAAATCTTATTCGGTTGGATCATGTTCAGGAAGTGCACCCTTATCAAGGTGGAACAGTTATGGTCTGGGGAGGAGTCCAGTTAGGCCGAAAAACCGATCTCGTTTTTCTTGAAAGGTTTCTAACAGGAATCACATATCGTGATTTAATTCTTGAGCCTGTCGTGTTACCATATGCCATTGATTTTAGGAGAAACTTCATTCTCATGCATGACAATGCACGGCCTCATACAGCCAGAGTGGTAAGTGAGTTTATCAATGCTCATCAATTAAACATCTTACCCTGGCCGGCACAATCTCCTGACCTCAACCCCATCGAGCACGTATGGGACGCGGTTCAAAGAAGAATTTTGAGAATGGGTATGCCTCGTGAAACTCGTAGGGATCTGGTTCGGGCCGTGAATGCAGCGTGGCAGGCTGTACCTCAAGAAGAGATCGACAACCTGATCAGGAGCATGGAGAGACGATGTAGGGCTGTAATGAACAGTAGAGGAGGCCATACCCTTTATTTTGTAAAAATGGTTTTATCTTTTTTTCTTTTAATTCACAGTTTAGAATAAAAAAAATGTCTGTATTTTTTTGAGTTCAATAAAAATCAAGGTAAATTTGAAAAATTCGGTAAATTTCGCATTTTTATTTACAGTACGTCCTGTAAACTATTTGTTTATTTTAATTTTATTATATTAGAAATGCAAATAATAAAATTACTGACGATGGCTGGATAAAATTGTAATATTCCTAGACTTTTCCGGTGTGTGTATAGATACAAAACTATGTATATTTGTTAGTTTTAAAAATTCCATCATATAACCTTGCACAAAATGATCTATTTTATAATAATTAATTATCTTTTTACCTCGTATTCTACCACTTCTACAATATTCTACTTAAGTATCTAATTTATCTGTAACGCATTTTGTATTTTTAGCCTGATTTCCACATCGTACTTTCAGGAAATCGCTCAAGATCGTCTCGGTGGGTACTGTCGAGTGTTTACTAAGTAACGAGATGACAAATGAACCATAAAGTACCACCGTTGCGAAATGGAAAGCATTTCTTAGCTGTATTTCTATTCTTTAAGGTACATCGGATGAATACCCGATGTTGGATTAAGATATATTTTATAAAAATAGGTAAGAATGTTAAATGAAAGCTCTTTACTTTTTCATAAACATTTATTTATATTCAGTTCTTCTATTTTGATAAACTATAAACCTAGCATCTATCCCTAAAATAGAGTATCTATTTATCAGGGAATATCCTTCTATATCCTTAAATGACAAGGATATTACATTATCACCAGCTTCTCTGTATTATTCATCCCCTCAGAAGGGATATTACCATCAATTAGCCAGCATCAAACAATCCTATCGATTTTATAATTACCACTACTATAAAGTTTATCGGTATTTTAGCAGATTTTCTAACAAACCATTTTCTAGGTTTGGTATACAGAGTGTCCCAATATTCCGCGGACTTGAACTACTACATATTTTTGGTATTAAGAGAGCATCAAGTTTTAAAAAATAAATATTTTTAGGACACTGAATGAGATTTGAGGTTTTGCTAGGGGTTGCCTAATTTGTCACAAAAAATATCTTTAAATTTGACAAAAGTTTGACAAGTTTCAAAAATCTTAAGTGGAATTTATATGCATCTGTGTCCGTGCGTCGTTCATCGTTTAGTCACTCTAATCGTATTAAAATATGATCTATCATTTTAGAAACAAACCAATAAAACTGGTTAAATACATCAAAAGACGACGCTATGACGGATTTATATACAGGGCGAGTCTTAAATAAGTGCAAATATTTTCAGGGCTAGTAGATCTCGATGAAAGAATCACATTTTCTCTTTACCGTTTTTTAGTTATTCAAGTTTGAAATTTTTTTTCAAACGTCACAAAAGTATTAATTTTTGTGAAGCGATTGAAAATATAAAAAAGTCATTTTAACGCTTAAAGTATAGTCTGATGGTCCAACAATAATATCCTTTTGTAATTTTGCGAGAGTATTACTGAAACACCCTGTATACTTGTTAAAATTCGTTCTATTGCCAAAAGCTACTCGAATTTCTCTTCGAATCTATCTCTTTTCTCACCCATATCCTCTAATTACTTTAAATCACTTTAGGGTAGATTTTGGACGGAAATATGTGCGACAAGGAAATTAGAGATTAAATTTTAGATATTATCGGTTTTATATAAATTTAATATTTTATTATTACACCTTTAGAACAAAAGTATGATTACTATTATTTGAAAATGTCCAAAGGGAGTTTCTATATTTAGCTTAGTAAGGAAATATATACGAGGTATATTTTTTTATAACATAATTTTTTCTATGCTTGTCAGTCTTAGATAAATAATATAAATAGACATACCATATAGTATAGAACATGTTCAAGATACACAAACCAGATGCCAGATGGCCTTATGAAGGTTGTAATTTATTTTAATATTTAGTAAAAAGATTTTTAAAAGGTGTAGGTTAAAATTCGAAAAAAAAAATTTTTTAGGAAGAGATTTTTGTTTGGAAACGTTCTATCCTTTATAATCTTTCTACTTTTAACAAATTTTAAGTAAATCCCTAGTAGGATCTAGATAAAATTGTCATCGATTTTCAATCCTCAGCCGTCTTTGACGCTGTTTTTTTTCGATTATATGATTATAATGATTATAATATTTCATTAAATTATTAAAATCTTTTTTATCTATTGTTATACAGAGTGAATCTTAAATGAAAGAATCTTAAAAATTTAAAAAAATCATAACTCCAAAATTACAGTAGCGAGCGAAAAGCAGTTTTCAATTTAAGATTAGGAATAATATTTGCAACAAAATTTGTAATAACATCAAAATCAGTCAAAGTCGCAGTTTTTGAGATAAACAAAATTGGAAAAACTCCTTTACTTTGAAACTAAAAGAACTGCCTACCAACTTTTTATTAATAATTATTAATAAATTATTATTAATTGGGATCTTTTGGATTTTCTTCTATTTTCTTTCTTTTTTCTATTTTGTTTTTCTTTTTTAATTTTTTCTTTATTTGGATTTATAAATCAGGTCTCTTTAGGAATAAAGGACGCCTTTTTTAAATTTCATAAAAACAAGTGCAAAAAAGGAACATATTTTACTCTTTACCCATTTTTCAACTAAGTCATTTTAAAAATGATTTTTTACTTAAATTTTGATAACCATTAGATGTTTTCTGTGTTTTCTTTCTTGTAAATTTAATCTACTACGTATCTTGCCATATTATCAATTATTATTTGTTTAATTATAATTTTTAAAAAATCATTTTTTTTAAAAAAATACCAGATAAATTATTTATCATTTGTATATCATTATATCTTTGTCAAAAAAAGAGTTCTTGTTAAAACTACTGTCTCGAAGCGTACCATCTTAATACACAGGCACATACGTCGTACCCACTACCCGGATTGACGCTTTGTATACAAATGCGGTACTTATTACGATTTTTTCCGGTAACACCGCGGTACAGTTTGGATGGTTTTGGGTATAAAAACGTCAAATGGTGCCCCTTTCCGTTCAGTACCATTCAGTACGACTCAGTGGTCATCAGGGAAATTTTGCCGACATGTTTGCCCAGGTGTGTACAGTGTGTCTGTTTTTACTTTTATTACTAATTAAAATCAATCTTTTTATACAATCAGTAGGATTTTTGAAGTACTTTGGTTGATGTTAGTAAGATTATTATATATTTGAAATTAAAATACCGGGTGTTTCTCAAAAGAGGCCCTATAACTTTTTTAGGGATACTAGATACAAAAAAAAGTTATAGGGGTGAGCTAATTTTGAAAAACACTCGGTATAATGTTTAATAATAACGCTTGAACATTTCTTAAGCTAAATATGATATATCTTACAAATTTAACAGTGTGAACCTCGTTTATATAGCAGGTAAAAATAAGTAAAAAAGTTCGTATAAATATATGTCCAAAAACGCTTAGTTTCGGAGATACAGGGTGTAGAAAATTTTCCAAATCGAGATGCCTCAATATGTAGGTACCCTTAGCGATTTTTACCAAGAGATATTTTTTACGTAAAAAACGTTGTAAATGTATATTTTTTTACTCAATAGTTTTATTCAGGTACGGATGAAAAGTTATTATTCTGCAAACCAGCTAAAAAATATGTAGGTGTCGCCCTGTACTAGTAGGAGTCATATTGACATCTAAATCAAATTTCTCATGTCAAAAAACTCCCATACACAAATTTTCAACAAAATATTGACGTTACTGCAGAAATTATTTGGAAAAAATCGAAATAAAAATAAAATTTCTACACCCTGTATCTACGAAACTAAGCATTTTAGGACATACATTTATAAGAACTTTTTTACTTGTTTTTATTTTTCGGACCACCCTGTATATCTCAATAAAGCTTGTATTTTACCTCCTTATATACAAAACGTTATAAGACAGAGTTTACCAAAAATGCTTTTTATAACTACTAGTGGGTAAATGAATTTGTAGATATATTACGAATTTTTTTGGAACTTTAGTTTCGAAGATATAAATTTAATCGGACCTTTTTAAAAAAATTAATTTTATTTTTCAGAAACTATTTGAGACAGAGTTTACCAAAAATGCTTTTTATAACTACTAGTGGGTAAATGAATTTGTAGATATATTACGAATTTTTTTGGAACTTTAGTTTCGAAGATATAAATTTAATCGGACCTTTTTAAAAAAATTAATTTTATTTTTCAGAAACTATTAGAGACAGAGTTTATCAAAAATGCTTTTTATAACTACTAGTGGGTAAATGAATTTCTAGATATATTACGAATTTTCTTGGAACTTTAGTTTCGAAGATATAAATTTAATCGGACCTTTTTAAAAAAATTAATTTTATTTTTCAGAAACTATTAGAGACAGAGTTTACCAAAAATGCTTTTTATAACTACTAGTGGGTAAATGAATTTGTAGATATATTACGAATTTTCTTGGAACTTTAGTTTCGAAGATATAAATTTAATCGGACCTTTTAAAAAAAAATAATTTTATTTTTCAGAAACTATTAGAGACAGAGTTTACCAAAAATGCTTTTTATAACTACTAGTGGGTAAATGAATTTGTAGATATATTACGACATTTCTTGGAACTTTAGTTTCGGAGATATTAATTTAATCGGACCTTTTTAACAAAATTAATTTTATTTTTCAGAAACTATTATAGATAGAGTTTACCAAAAATGCTTTTTATAACCACTAGTGGGTAAATGAATTTGTAGATATATTACGAATTTTTTTGGAACTTTAGTTTCGAAGATATAAATTTAATCGGACCTTTTTAAAAAAATTAATTTTATTTTTCAGAAACTATTAGAGATAGAGTTTACCAAAAATGCTTTTTATAACCACTAGTGGGTAAATGAATTTCTAGATATATTACGAATTTTTTTGGAACTTTAGTTTCGGAGATATAAATTTAATCGGACCTTTTTAAAAAAATTAATTTTATTTTTCAGAAACTATTAGAGACAGAGTTTACCAAAAATGCTTTTTATAACTACTAGTGGGTAAATGCATTTGTAGATATATTACGAGTTTTTTTGGAACTTGTTTCAAGATATACATTTAATCGGAGACAGGAATTATACACCTCCTTCTATAACTCTCTTGGTAAACGCCTGTTATAATCTTATAATAACTGTATTGTTAGACACCTTAATGATGTACTACGATCAAGAATTTAGTAATTCAAAGTGTTGGACACAAGCTTAGAGCTTAAGATCCTTGTAAATGGAGATTTTCTCAATACAGGGACTCTGGCTTATCCTATTAAAATTAATTAATTACCGGGTGCGTCTCAAAAGTGGCTCATCCCTATAATTTATTATTTTTTTCTTATAAAAAAACGAGATTGGGTATGTCAGTATATAACATAAATTAGGATTGATGACGAATTGTTTTTGGTCACTTCCTGTTTCACCGGAAATGATTACAACTTTTGTTTTTTAAATGGTACCCTCGGACACTGTAAATAGAATAATATATCATATGTCAACTTTTAACATTTTTGATTAAAAAATCGTGTTTTAAATTTCAATCTAGAGTGCCATGGCTTTGTTAATGTTTGTTGGATCCTTGGAAAAATAGATTTGATCGTCAATGTTTTTCGTGTCTTGTCATTGCCGGTGAAAAGATGCCCAAATCATATTTTTAATCATATCTCAATTTTTTCAAATGGAACAAGGGTGGCTCATTAGCATATTTGGAAAAAGCATTTTTTACAAATAATTTGGTACTACACAGTGGGTATTTCGAGTCAAATTTTAGCTATAGACACAAATACTAGAATGAAATTTAAAATACCTAACTTCTTCCTAATTTTTTGTAATTTTGACTGTAATAATGTACGTTACAGCTGAATATTATTATTGTTTTACAGATTGTAGCTCTTACTATTCTATTTGCCTGCGTATCGGCAGGATATATAGGATATGGAGGACACGAGGAACAGTTGGTATATACAGCACCTGTCGTCAAGCCTGAAGTAGATTATTACGTAAGTTATTCTTCAGTCAAGAGCAAAAATTGTTAGTTTATTGCTAGCTTCATTAAATAACATAAACATAAACCTACAGACTTAAATACAGGACTGAGATTGATTTGTTTTGATCCAAAACACAGAAGCAAAATGTAAACAAACCCTCTGTTTATTTACAGTTTTATTAAACCACAGATCTAATATAACATTCTTCTGTTTTTACAAAAAGTAGTAAAAAATATTTTAATATACACGTGCATTGATGAAAACTAAAATAACTGATATTATCTCTTTTAAATTACTTAATATATCGTTTAAAATGTCTGGTTTACTACAGAATTACTCACATGTGAAAAGAAACTCACATTTAACGACCTTCAGGTAAATAGTTGGTTGATGTACTTTTTTATCCGGTCATGAAATATTATTACACATAATTTCAATAATTTCTTTTTCATATTATGTTTTTATTTCTTCGCTTTTCGAACTTTGATACCCTTGGAGAAATGAAGCCTTAAAATTTATACTGCAATTTTACAAAATTGAAAATATTTCAAAAACGGTAAGGTTTAAGTGTAATAAACCTTAACCAAATTTACCTTTATTTTAATCGTAGAAACTAAAAATGTAATAATATACAGGGTGTTCCATTTAAAAAAATACAACTTTGATATTTTTTATTTATTTGGGACACTCTGTATCTTGTAAAAATATTTTTAAATTGTAACTGTAATAGTCCTTCAGCGAACCCAAAACTTACAATTTATAAAAATCTAATCGTTTAGCTACAATATTCCGTGTCGTATGTGGTGAACAACCCTGTATATTTGGGACAACTAACACAGCTCGGGATCTCTACTACCAGAAATCAACAGAAGAATTAAGTTAGCATGCAGTACTTATGGAAGAAACTCAATCATCTTCAAATCTAGAATGCCACTCTAAAGAAGAAAACATTCGACGAAAGTGTACTACCAGTCATGACCTATGCATGCGAAACCTGGACACTGAAAACGGACATTATAAGGAAACTGCAAATCGCATAACGCTCAATGGAACGAAATATGCTGAGAAGAACCAAGAGAGAAAATAAAAGAATAGAGTGGATACGACAAAAGACCCAGATAATAGGTGTCATCCACAGAGTCAAATCTCTCAAATGGCAGTGGGCAGGACACCTTGCAAGAAGAACGGACAACAGATGGACCACAAAAATTACAGCATGGTATTCACGAGGGACTAAGAGACCTAGAAGAAGACCGAAATTAAAAAGAACTTTAGCAGGGATAACAATGGGCTCAACTAAAAAGAGAGTATCTAAAAATTTGAGGGAGGCTACACCATCTTTGGAAATGGTTGAATAAGCTGAAAATGATGATGATGATTAGTATAATATAACTCAATCTCAAAAGAGTAAATGTAACTAATCGTTTATTCAGTTTAGTTAACATATTCCTAATCGACTGTCAATTTGAAGTGTTTAATTTATTCAAATCTTCTTTGATCTATGCCACGTCCCGATACGCTTTTCAATTTCGATTCCACGTCTCCATTTTCAATTCCTCGTCGCTATTTCGTCGATTGCTTGGAGATTTATACACAATCGGACAGAGAATATAAACACTTATCTGATTCAGATCGTTCTATTTGTTTAGTTGAAATACCTACAGCAGAAACCATTCATTTATTCGACTTTACTGATTGAATTTGTTTCTCAAACTACATTAATATATTTTTTCCACAGAACTAGGTATATTGTGCTAGGTAAATTTGTGTATATTAAATGATACTTTAACATCGAGGATAGGTTAAAAACTTTATTTTTTCTCGCACGTTTTTTAATTGCTTCCATTTTTGAAAATTTTTGTATTCCTTTTCATAACTTATTCGGGAATTTAATGGAAGTAGTTTGGATATGGCGTTTGTCGCCTCAGCCTGAATATCTGTTAGTAATTTACTTATTTCGTTTTGAGCCATTTCTGGCTCCAATTCAATCAGCAATCGACACGAAAGAGAATTAAAAAATATTGACTCAAAACTGACAACTAAAGAGACAGCTTTATTTATTTGTCAAATTACATAGAAACCAACGCCAACCCAGCACAATATTTTTTCTACTCGTAATAAATTCCTTGAAATAATAATTTCTGAATATTTTTTAAAACGTAACTCGCTGTGGAAAAAAAATATTGTTATATACACGACGATTAAATTGCATTATCGTTTTGTATAAAAAATACCTATACTACTAAAAAAAAATCGAAAAAGTAGATAAACAACTTTTTTAACACTTTTTGGAGCAAATAGAATAAATTAATTACTGTAATCTGCTCTTAAACCGTTTTTTAATTTCGATTGCTTTCATTATCCTTGATTAATCCTTCCTGGTGTCTTTGTTCATCGAAAAATATCCCAAATTCGGCGATTCTGCCCCAATAAATATGCAAATCGACACTTTGATGGCGCTAGGCCTATATCATAATCGCCGACATTTTTCGATGGGGATTATATGGCATTCGAGCCGCGTAAAATGCTGTATAAACCAAGGGGATCGATGATGGAGATTATCGAGACAAGTTTTAAACGAATATATATTTATTTTCGTTTTCATTTTATTGGCAGTGGAATGAAAAAGAAACTCAAAAAATTTAGGATTTACGATCTTATTATCCGATAGTAAAGCAAAGGCTTATATAACATTACAATAAGGTTTACAAAAGAACTTATAAATTAAGAGAGGCACTTGAAGTGGCGGTACGAGAAAAGTTTAATTAAGTCGACCGGTCTTTCTGTGAGAATAGATAGTAGTTCAGTTTTAAAAAGATGCAACTCAAAACAATGGCGGATTTTTTGAACATTTTCTAAAATAACTTAAAGTATATGTAGTGATATTACTTTTTAAGTTTTAGTTTGTGTAATGTAAATTTTAAAAAACCGTTTAGTAATATATTCTGACTTATTATAAGTTAAAAAATAAATCATAACAGAATAAGAATACCATGCAATCTAAGTGAAATTAGTACTATAACTAAATTTAACTTTTCTAACATGTCTTGAAAACCGTTCTCTAAAAAACGTAACGTTCACCGGTCAACGTATTCTCGAAAATGTATGGTCAAGAAAAGTTGAACCAATAATCCTACACGCTTTTCTTCATTTGAAAAATTCATATTTACAATTTTTGTTTCAGCTTCACATTTATGAGAGAACAAAGTCGATTAAACTTTTTTCCATGGCTAACTAAGTGAAATTGTTTAAAAATGATAAGAATTGGCTATAACTCAGTAATTTTTCGAAGAAAACATATTACAGCTTATATCGCTGAAAAGCTTAAAAAATGGCGCTTTTTATGAGGTCATGGCCAACTATGGTTTCTATTTTAAAAAACGTATGTTTGTGTCATATGTCAAAAATGACAGGCTTTAGAAAAAAACGCAGGGCACAGTCTCATTAAGGATGTGATTATCTTAGGGACAATTTTTAAAATAGCCGAAATTTGTTTTTTTCGAAATATCTAGTAAGGCATGAACTTTTTCAAAAATCTGAAAGGTGCATATTTATGACCCTACAAAACTGCAATTCTTTCCTCATTTAACCGACTCTCTATCTCCAGTAGTTTCCGAGATACCCATAGAGAACGTCGTAGGAAACTCACCCTGTATAAATAATTGCAACTAAGAAAAAACTAAAATTTTTGAAACCACTTGACCCTAAATACGATTTTTTTTTATATTGCAGGCCCATCCAAAATACGAATTCAAATATGGCGTGGAAGATTTTCACACGGGCGACTACAAAACCCAGGAAGAATCAAGAGACGGTGACGTAGTAAAGGGTTCATACACCGTTGCCGAACCCGATGGTACATTGAGGACCGTCCATTACACTGCTGACCATCACAACGGGTTCAACGCGATAGTGACCAAGACAGGCAAAGCAGTACATCCTAGTCACTATAACACGTACGACGAGCATTATTAGTGAAATTAAATTTATTTAGATTTTTTGATATTGTGTATATAAATCAGTAGATTAGGTGTCCTGTTTTAGTTGTAAGTTAGGTTTTTTAATTGCGTTTACATTGCTTAAACGCGCCGTATTTATTATATCTTCTGTCATTTCAATAAAAGAATGTCTTCTAAAAACTTATGTTTTATTCTTAAAGTAGCAAATTTTTAAAACTTCATAGCTTTGAGTCAAATTCATTGATCTAAAACATAAATCTAAAAATAAAAAATAGTATATTGTGTTATTAGAAGTAAAAAATGACATACAGCCGAGGCACAAAAAGTAATTCTTACTCCGAATAGAACATGCTATTTTTTTTAAACGCCACAAATAAGTTTTAAACAATTTCAATCGTTCCAAACAATATAAAAATATTTAAAAGTCACGCTACAGAACTTACTACAAAACTGACAGCTGTCAAACTTCTTCTTCTTCTTTCTCAGCCTGGTTCCATCCAGTGTTGGATATAGGCCTCTTCTAGGTTTTTCCATGCTTCGCGATCTCTAGCCAATCTTACCCATTATTTTCCCGCCACTGCCCTGACGTCATCGATCCATCTCTTTTTTGGTCGGCCCACACTTCTTGTTGTTCTCCTAGGTCTCCATAGGATTACTTTTTGGGGCCATCGGTCTGGATCCTGTCTTGCCACATGTCCTATCCATTGCCATGTCCTATCCATTGCCAAACTAAGTAAGGGTTTAAGCAAGGCAACTAAGCTGTCAAACTAAGTAAGGCTTCCGTTGCAAAACCAGGCGAACCAGACCGGTAAACTACGGTAAAGAGGGGTTCGTGAAAAACATCGGTTTGATACGGAACGGTTTGGTAAAATACTGGAAACGTCAAATGTTGACGTTTTCTAAATTTCAATTACCTCTATTATAAAATTTATCTTTTATGCATTTTTAATATACCTATTCTCTGCTTTTACGTTTGCTTCTTCTTTTCAATGGAGTTTAATATTGAAATTTATTTTTAAACTTTATTAATACATGTTAAACTCGTTAGACAGCTCAAGTTAAGATTTGCCGGTCCAATATTAAAACAGATCAATAATAAATAAACAAATCTAATCAATATTTATATTTTTATAGCTTACAAAACATTCACGATTACTTGTTGTCTTGTTTTTCATGTTTTCTTTAAATGTTCCTGACTTTAAGAAACAATGGCTGCACGATAAATTTAAATGGTCCTAAAAAGTAATTCTATTTACTTAATGAAATTTATTTACCTTTACTGCCTACCTCCATTACTTTTGGATGTAAATACAAAATATTATAACAAATTTTAGAAATTAAATGAGAATTTCACTCGAACTTCCAATATTTGCTTGATTTCTGTCACATAAAAGACATTGATTGACAAACAAAACCAGAAAAACCAGTTTTGTCGCGCTGGTTAGTTTGGTGACAGTTATAACCGATTTTTTTAGGAACCGTGTTCTGTAATAAGAAAACTTTCAGGAAACCGATAGAAATGGAACATAAAACCATAACCAAGGTAAGCAACGAACGGAATACACCCTTACTTGTAACAAAATTTGCCTTACCACGAGAAATGCTTGACCATTCAGGGAGTTAAAAAATTATTTACTGGAATATTTACTAGATGTTTTACCAACATAAAATATCTCACATTGTCATTGGTATTTTTTATATCTATCACATTTTTTGCTCTCCTCTCCTTAGAGTTAACATAATTTAACAATTCTTTTTAGTTAACGTTAATCTACTTGATTGTAATTAAATGGTCGTATTATGCATTAGCAATTACTATTACTATTAGAAATTCAAAGTCTCAGTAATGCAGTTTATTTGAATTCTTGATTGAAATTTAGAAGTAAAATATTGAAATGGGGGATAGCCTCGAAAGAAGATTGATGAATGTTGTGCCTTTCATAAAGTTAATGCTTAATAAAATTATGCTTTAAATCTAACGAACTAACTTTAGATTAGGCCAATATTAAATTAACTTCAGGATGTATAATTCTCTCTTATAAAGTTTAAATTTGACTGATTTAAACGCCTAGATCATATAGCGGGACATAGGAAATCCCATGTAAATTTTAATGGGGTCAATTATTGGCTTCCCTAATTATTTTAGAAAATAATTCTATTTAGGGTTATTGAAGAGCACTAAAACCCACATTCAAAAGAATAACTTTAGATATTTTTGATTAGCTCGTTTATGAGTTATCGCCGATTTCTTTTTAAATATTTCTCCTTCCTGATGGGCCTGTATTTACTTATGAGCACCAGTCAAGGTAAAAGATAATTGTCAAATGAAGTTGTTATTTCAAAAATTTACCTATTTAGTGCTTTATTATTATTGAAAACTCATTCCGACATCGGAAATCTTAAAGATGTATTTATAAATACAAATTAATATGAATTAAAGTAAAATAAACGAATTCAAATATGGCGTTTCCTATGTCCCGCTAGCTTTCCTATGTCCCGCTCGACGATGCAACACCCGGTATGATCTAGGGATAATATTTATCGGAAAATGTGATACTATAATTTTAATTTTTATGAAAAAATTCAACCATATCTGGATTTTTGGAAAAGTATAAACGAAATTAATAATTTTAGAACTAGCAAAACATTTTATGAAGAATGCATTTTCCTCTCAATTTCAATTAAAAAGTTTTTTCTCTTGTAAAGACAATCCGGAGACATACTGTAGAACATTTTTCTATATTTTTGTTAACAACTACGATATTGAACTTTCGCTTACTAATGAGCCACCCGGTATATTATCGTCATATAAATGATACTGCACCAAAATCAAGGTAGTTAGTCCCAAACAAATAGCATGATCATGCACAACACGAAGAACAAAAAGAATTCGTAATAATAATGTCAAGGGTTTTGTAGGTGAGCGAGTGAAAGAAAAAATCAAAACATATCCATTATAATCACGATACATAGTACTTAATCGTTTACACTTCCTACGTAAAAAGTACCCAGAACTGCTTGCCCAATTCACATGGGTAATTACGAAATTATTGGAGCATTTTAAGATCGACTATATTCCGCAAAACCATGGGTATTCGAGACCTTGGATCATATATTACGAAACATATTTAAGAATTCTAGGTTATTTTGTTTTGTTCCGCATAATAGGCCAAGAAAAAATGAGCATATATGCTCGTAACTAAAAGCGAGTTCTCACCTATCAATCTTACTGAAGCAGTCTAACTGATTCATTATTACTAGAATGAATACTAATCAGTGTGAGATCAAGTTTTCAATGAAACTGAAAGCCATAGTCTGTCCAACGACACAGAGATGATTTCGACAGAGGGACGACATCCAAAAAATCACTGCCTGTATAGTAAAATGACAGGCACAAGTGTACTATATTGTAGTTTGTATAGAACTTCGAATTGATGGTTACTGAGTTGGTCGCTTTTAATGCTGCTTAAATGTTTGATAAGGTGGCCATTTCCTGGTTCTGATAGTTCCTATCTAAGATAAGTTGTATGCATCTCGCGATAGCGTAGATTTTTGCCGTAAGTATGCTGCTAATAGGTGCCCGATAGTTAAAAAAAATATATATTAGCCGGTTTAAAACGTATTTCTACGTTGTCCGACACTGTTTCTTTCACTCATTGCTTTGTGTACGCCCTCTTGCCATTCCAGTTCGTCTTCCCTGTTTTCTTCTGCCCTTTGGTTGCCAATTGATTATTTTCTTGGTCCATCTTGTATTCTTCATTCGCTCTACATATCCGTACCAGATCGTGCCATCTATACCCAATTGTTGTTTTATGGTATTATTTCTTATTCGTTATTGTCTGGAAATTCCCATTAACCTTCGAATTGCACCCATTTCTAGGGCCTCTATCCTTTTCTTGCATCTTTCAGTTATTCTCCATGTTTGTGCTCCATGTAGAAGAGCACTCTTTATCATGGTCTCATGTATATTGAATTTTCTTCGCTTTGTTATTGATTTGCTCCATAAGATTCCATTTAGACATCCGATTATTTCTTCGCATTGATTATCCTTTTCTCTATTTCTCTGCCATCAGTTCCAGTATTATCAAATGTCAGTGTTATCAAAAAATATACCTATAATAGAAAACAAAAAGAGTAGACTTTCAACAAATGGTCTTTGTGTTGTTAATCGTTATACTTTTCTTAAAATTAAATAATGTTATTGGACAAATTTTTATGTTTATTCTTAATAAATAGCAACAAAATTACTGAATATTTCTTGTTATTCGATAAATGATCCCTTGTGTTGTCTACAAATAATTATTATTTTTAGTACATCTTTTTAATATTATTTATTAATGATGATTGGTAGTAATTTAGTTTAGAAATGTCTCATTCCGTAGAATATTGTATTATCTAATACAACGATACAACGTTGTATTAATTATGTTAAGATGAGTAATGTAATTATTATAGATAATACAGCCTTTGTCTATATATTTCTGTTATCAATATACTAATAATTATCTAGTAATTGCTTTTTTTTTCTTTAACTTCGACGTAGCTAGACCAAATTTGGCAGTAATCAAATAGGACAAAATTACTGTTAAGAAAAAACGACGATGTTTTGAAATAGTAAGTGAGATGAAAATAGTAGGTTGTTTATATAACGAACCAAAGCAATTTTCATTTTCACTGTCGCCTATGTGCTTTATGGGGCACACTAATTTTCCAACCTGATTGTTGTCCAAAATGAGTTTTGTGGAATTCATATTCATATAACAAAATGCCGTAATGTCGCAACGGTATCACGATACAAGTATAAAAGTTAAAGCTAGAGATGGGCTAATATAAAATAATTGATTGTTACAGTTTTAATAATAATTATTATTTTAATTATAAAATAATTGTTTACAGAATTATATAGAGAAAACTTTCCTGGAGTGGGTCCTTTCGAACTCGATGGCATGTGTCCATCAGCAGTTTACCATTAGCTGAAGAAGTACGATTCTTGGATTGCGGGGTATAAATTCATT